AGGGCTACATGCTTACACTGTTTATCAGGGATATACGGGGATTGTTTTTACATACTATTTTTTTTTTTTTTTTGAGACAGGGTCTGTCTCTGTCACCCAGGCTGGGGTACAGTGGCTCAAGTGATCCTCCTGCTGCAGCCCCCCAAGTTGCTAGGACTCCAGGCATGCGCTACAATGCCTGGCTAATTTTTTTGGTATCTTCTGTAGAGATGGTCTTTCACCACTTTGCCCAGACTGGCCTCGAATTCCTGGGCGTAAGCAATCTGCCCCCCTCAGCCTCCCTAACTGCTGGGATTACAGGTAGGGGTCACCACACCTGGCTTACCATACTATTATTAACTATCAGCTCTGAATAAAACTTACCAGTGGAGATGTGCTCTGTCCACTCTGGGTGTGTTTCATCCTCAGTTCTGTGTACAAATACCAGATGTAATTGATGGTGTAGAGAAATGAGGAAATGTAGAATATCTAGGTTAAAATCAAAACAACCCATCACAACTATCTCACTCTGACACTGTGAAGTTCTTTCAACATACTCCATTATTTTCTATTATGGGAATCCTACCTACTAGTCTATTAGTAATGTACCATCTAGTGTCTATGTCAGGCAAAACCATACCAAGTCTGAAATTCTTTTTTTTGTGTGTGTGACAGAGTTTTTACTCTTGTTGCCTAGGCTGAGTGCAGTGGCACAATCTTGGCTCACTGCAACCTCTGCCTCCCGGGTTCAAGCGGTTCTCCTGCCTCAGCCTCCCGAGTAGCTGAGATTACAGGCACGTGTCACTATGCCCCGCTAAATTTTATTGTATTTTTGGTAGAGATGGGGTTTCACCATGTTGGCCAGGCTGGTCTCGAACTCCTGACCTCAGGTGATCCACTCACCTTGGCTTCCCTAAGTGCTGGGATTACAGGTGTGAGCCATCGCACCTGGTCCCAAGTCTGAAATTCTAACAGGCCTACCTAAAACATGCCCTGCTTTCTTATTTTATCCTTTGGACTGTTCAGAAGAACCACAGCATTATCCCACCTCTACCTGCCCAACAGTCCCACTTTTATGAAGATATCATATAATCTTTTTCTATTTTATTTTTTGTTTTTTGTTTTTTGTTTTTTTTTTTGAGACGGAGTCTCGCTCTGTCGCCCAGGATGGAGTGCAGTGGCCGGATCTCGGCTCACTGCAAGCTCCGCCTCCCGGGTTCACGCCATTCTCCTGCCTCAGCCTCCTGAGTAGCTGGGACTACAGGCACCCGCCACCTCACCTGGCTAGTTTTTTGTATTTTTTACTAGAGATGGGGTTTCACCGTGTTAGCCAGGATGGTCTTGATCTCCTGACCTCGTGATCCGCCCATCTCGGCCTCCCAAAGTGCTGGGATTACAGGCTTGAGCCACCACGCCCGGCCTTTCTATTTTATTTTTTAATTGAAAAGGCAATAAAGATTTCTACTTCTAGTAATGACGGGCTAAGCTATTTGAATCAACTTTCCATTCAAAAGAACTAAACATGATGAATAAGATATATTTTTAAAAATCCTTAAAAGAACCTAAGAACTGAGATGATATCAAGGAACTAGTAGGATAAAATCTAAGGGAAGGAATTTCTACTTCCAGCTTTGATGAGATAACAGGAATAGAATTTACCCTCCAGTCTTAAACAACTAAAAATTGAATAAAATATATGAAAACATCCAGTTTTCAAACAGTAGGCAACAAGCAGAAGAGAACAGCAATCCCTGAAAAAAGAAAAGCAAGGTGAGTCCATCAAGTGCCCCAGCTCACCAGCTGGTAAGAGAACAGGAGGGCTGGGCATGGTAGCTCACCCTGTAATCTCAGCACTTTGTGAGGCCAAGGTGGGTGGATCACGAGGTCGAGATCGAGACCATCCTGGCCAACATGGTGAAACCCCATCTCTACTATAAATACAAAAATTAGCTGGGCGTGGTGGTGCATGCCTGTAGTCTCAGCTATTTGGGAGACTGAGGCAGGAGAATCACTTGAACCCAGGAGGCAGATGTTGCAGTGAGCTGATATCGCACCACTGCACTCCAGCCTGGCGACAGAGCGAGACTCCATCTCAAAAAAAAAAAAGAAAAAAAGAAAAAAGAAAAAGAAAGAAAAGAAAAAGAGTGATTACAGGAGCGGGAATCCAAACAGACCACTGTCTTGGTGAGTTGAGAAGACAAAATTCAGAGTTTGGGAGGCCAAGGCAGCTAAAATTTGTCAAGTACAGTATCAGAGCAGGGGAAGCTATATAGTGAGATGATTCTCAGGAGAGCTGCAGAGGTCACCCCAAGTCTTTGGTTAAGTATTAATCTATGTATATGGGAGAGAAAACCATGAAAACCAGAGAAAGAATCATCAGAAAGGAGTAGATGGGACAATCCCTAAAGCTTACACAGGGCCAGGAATAGTTTGTTTGCTTTCTCATCAACCAGAGTGGAAAAATATACAAGGCATAATCATAAGAAGAACATTGCTTCTGTAATGGGATCAAATTAGCTATACATAAAAGGCTGCCCTCACAATGCTTAAAAGCAAGCCTTCTAATTAGCAGGGCATGGTGGTGCACGCCTGTAATCCCAGCACTTTGAGAGGCTGAGGCAGGCAGATCACCTGAGATCAGGAGTCTGAGACCAGCCTGACCAATATGGTGAAACCCCATCTCTACTAGAAATACAAAAATTAGCTAGGCATGGTGGTGTGTGCCTGTAATCCCAGCCACTTGGGAGGCTGAGGCAGGAGATTCGCTTGAGTCTGGGAGGCGGAGGTTGCAGTGAGCTGAGATCACGCCACTGCACTCCAGCCTGGGCAACGGAGCAAGACTCTGTCTCAAAAAAATAAAAATCACAAAATTAGCTGAGCATGGTGGCATGCACCTGTGGTCCCAGCTACTCAGGGGTCTGAGGTGGGAGGATTGCTTGAGCCCAGGAGGTCGAAGCTGCAATGAGCTGTGATTGAACCACTGCACTCCAGCCTGGGAGACAGAGCAAGACCCTGTCTCAAACAATAAAGATAGTAATAATAATAGTTTAATAAATAGTAATAGTTTAATAATAGTAATAATAGTAAATAAAAAAGATAATAATAATAATAGTTTAGAAATAGAAAATTGGAACAGACCTATAACTAGTAAGGAGATTTAATCAGTAATCAAAAAATTTCCCCAAACACAAAGCCTAGAACCAAATGGCTTTACTGGTAAATTATATCAAACACTTAGAGAATAATTTCCACCAAAACCTGTCAAGTTATTCCAAAAAGTTGAACAGGATGCAATGCTTCCCAACTCATTCTATGAAGCCAGCAAAACCCTGATAGCAAAGCCAGACAATGACACTACAAGAAAAGAACAGACCAATATCCCTGATGAAAACTGTTGTAAAAATCCTCAACAAAATAGTAGCAAACAAAATTCAACAGCACATTAAAAGGATTATATACCATGACGAAATAGGAGCTATTCCTGGAATGCAAGGATGGTTCAACACACAAAAATCAATTAATAGATCACATTAATAGAAGTAAGGAAAAAACTATATGACTATTTCAATTAATGCAGAAAAGCATCTGACAAAATTCAATACCCTTTCATGATTTAAAAAAAAAAAAGCCACCAAAAAAAAAAACCCAAACTAGGAACAGAAGAAAACTATCTCAACAAAATAAAGGCTAGTACATATACACACTGGAGTACTATTCAGCAATAAAAAAAATGAGATCTGTCATTTGCAACTACATAGATGGAACTGGAGATCATTATATTAAGTGAAACAAGCCAGGCACAGAAAGGCAACCATCATATATTTGCAGTTATTTGTGGAATCTAAAAATCAAAACAATTGAATTCATGGACATAAAGAGTAGAAGGATGGTACCAGAAGCTGGGAAGGGTAGTGGGAAGGTAGGAAGGAGGTGGAAATGGTTAATGCGTACAAAAAATATATATAGTAATGGGTACAAAATACATATATAATAATGAGTACAAAAATATATATAGTTAGAATAAGTAAGACCTACTATTTGATAGCATAACAAGGTGACTATAGTCAACAATAACTTAATTGTACATTTTAAAAGAATTAAAACAGTATAATTGTATTGCTTATAACAGAAAGGAAAAATGCTTGAAGGGATGGATAACCCCATTCTCCATCATGTAATTATTTTACACTGCATGCCTGTATCAAAATATTTCACGTACCCCCATAAATATATATACCTACTATGTACCCACAAAATTTTAAAAAATTGTTTTAAATGTTACCAATTTATAGTCTTCCTCCACCAGAGGTATATAACAATTCCCATTTTATTATACATTTACCAATATTAAATCATTTCATAAACAAAAAAGCAAAAACAAAATAAAAAAACAACAAAGGCCATATATGAAAAGCCCAGAGAAAACATCATACTCAATGATGAAAGACAAAGCTTTTCTTCTAAGTTCAGAACAAGGTGAGGATGCCTGCTTTTACCACTTCTATTCAATGTAGTTTTGGAAGTCCTAGCTAGAGCAATTAAACAAGAAGAAACACAAGATAATGAAATTGAAAAGGAAGATATAAAATCATATTTGTTTGCAGATAACACGATCTTATATGTAGAAAACTCTAAAGATTACACACGCGCGCGCGCGCACACACACACACATACACATGCAACTGTTCAAACAAATAATAGAATTCAGTCAAGTAGCCAGATACAAAACAACATGCAAAAATCAGATGCACTTCTATGTATCAACATGAACAATCCAAAAAAGAAATTATGAAAATAGTTCCAGTTACAATATCATTAAAAACAATAAAATACTTAGGAATAACTTAACCAAGGAGGCAAAAGACTTGCACACTAAAAAGTATGAAACATCGCTAAAAGAAATTAGAGAAGACACCAATAAATAGAGAGATACCCATGTTTATGGACTGGAAGAGTTACTATTTAGTTTTTTGTTTTTTGTTTTTTTGAGACAAGGTCTCGCTCTGTCACTCAGGCTGGAGTGTCGTGGCGGAATCATAGCTCACTGCAGCCTCAACCTCTTGGGCTCAAGCAATTCTCCCATCCCAGCCTCCAGAGTAGCTGGAATTACAGGTGCACACCACCACACCCAGCTAATTTTTGTATTTTTTGTAGAGACAGGGCCTCGCCATGTTTCCCAGGCTGTTCTCAAACTCCTGGGCTCAAGCAATCTGCCTACCTCAGCTTCCCAAAGCGTTGGATTGTAGGCATGAGCCATCACACCTGGCTGAAACACTTACTGTTGTTAAGATGTTCAATACTACCCTAAGTGACCTACAGATTCAATGCAATCTCTATCAAAATCACAATAACTTTTTTTTTTTGCAGAAATAAAATATACCATACTAAAATTCATATGGAATCTCAAGGGACCCTAAATAGCTAAAACAATCTTGAAAAAGAGAGGCCGGGCATGATGGCTCACGCCTGTATTCCCAGCACTTTGGGAG